GGGTGAAAGAACCCCCTGGGTATTTTTAATGTTTTTTTAAAAGGTTTTGTTTTTTTTTTTTTTTTTTTACTTTCTCTTTCCAGTGTTTCATTATTAATGTATAGAAACCAACAGATTTCTGCATATTAATCATGTAACCTGAAACTTGCTGAATTTATTTGTTAGTTCTAATAGTTTTTGCCTGGAGAGTTTACAGTTCTCTATATGAAGTATCATGTCATCTGCAAATAGCAACAGTTTTACCTCTTTCCTTCCAATTTCAATATATTTTTATTTCTTTTCATTGTCTGATTGCTATAGCTAGGACTTCTAATGTTATGTTAAACAGAAGTGGTGAGAGTGGGCATCCTTGTTTGTTCCTGAATTTAGTGATAAGGCTTTCAGCTTTCACCATTAAGTGTTATATTAGCTGTGGGTTTGTAATAAATGCCCTTTATTGATATATGTTCCCTCTATACACACTTTGATGAGTGCTTTTATCATGAATAGGTGTTGAATTTTGTCAAATACATTTTCTGCATCAACTGAGATGATCATGTGATTTTTATTCTTCCTTTTGTTAATGTGTTGTATCACATTGCTTGATTTGTCGATGCTGAACCATCCTTGTGACCCTGGAATAAATCCAACTTGATCATGTTGTATGATACTTTTTATATATTTTTTGATTCAGTTTGCTAACATTTTGTTGATGATTTTTGCATCTATATTCACCAAATATATTGGCCTTTAATTTTCTTTTTTGTAGTATCTTTTTCTGGTTTTGGTATCAGGGTAACGGTGGTCTTGTAGGATGGATTTAGTAGTGTTCTCTTCTCTTCAATTTTTTGGAATAGTTTGAGAAGGATAGGAAATAGATCTACTTTATATGTTTGGTAGAATTCTCTTGTGAAGCTGTCTCCTGGACTTTTGTTTGCTGTATTTTTTTTTTTTGTTATTACAAACTCAATTTCAGTTCTAGTGATAAGTCTGTTCAAATTGTCTGTTTCTTCTTGACTCAGACTTTGCAGGATGTATGGTTCTAGAAATTTATTTATTTCTTCTAGGTGTCCAATTTTGTGTGTGTGTGGCATGTGGACCTCTCACTGTTGTGGCCTCTCCTGTTGCAGAGCACAGGCTCTGGATGCGCAGGCTCAGTGGCCATGGCTCACAGGTCCAGCTGCTCCATGGCATGTGGGATCTTCCCGGACTGGGGCACGAACCTGTGTCCCCTGCATTGGCAGGTGGACTCTCAACCATTGCGCCACCAGGGAAGCCCTAGGTGTCCAATTTTTTGCCATATAACTGTTCATAGTATTCTCTCATTATTTTTTTTTTTATCTCTGTGGTATCAGCCATTATTTCTCCTCTTTTGTTTCTTATTTTATTTATTTGGATTCTCTCTCTCCTCTTGATGAGCCTGGCTAAAGTTTTATCATTTTTATTTATCTTTTCAAAAAACCAGCTCTTGGTCTCTGAACTTTTCTACTTTTTAAATTTGTATTTTATTTATTTCCTCTATGATCTTTATTATTTCTTTCCTTTTGCTAATTTTTAGTTTTGTTAGTTTTTTTTTTAAATTCTTTTAGGGGTAGGTTAGGTTATTTATTTGAGATTTTCTTGTTTCATGCAGAAGGCTTGTATTGCTATGAACTTCCCTCTTAGAATTGCTTTTGCTGCATCCCATAGGTTTTGGAAATTTGTGTTTCCATTTTCATTTGACTTGGAGTTATTTTCTGATTTCCTCTTTGATTTCATTGCTGGCCATTTGTTTTTTAGTAGCATGTTTTTTAGTCTCCCTCTGTTTTTTTCTTTTCCCATTGTTCTTTCTACAGTTGATTTCTAGGTTCTAGGTTGCTGTGGTCTGAAAAAATGTTTGACATAATTTCTATCCTCTTAAATTTGTTGAGGCTTGTTTTGTGACCTATTATGTGAACTACTCTGGAGTATATTCCATGTGTAACTGAAAAGAATATTTATTCTGCTCTTTAATGTATGTAATGTCCTATAGATGTCAATTAATTCCAACTGGTCTATTTTGTCATTTAAGACCACTGTTGCTTTAATGATTGTCTGTCTGGATCATATGTTTATGGATGTCAGTGGGGTGTTAGTCTCCTACTATTATTGTATTGTCAACTTCTCCCTTTACATCTGTTAGTATTTGCTTTATATATTTAAGTGCTCCTGTATTGGCTGCATATATGTTAATTACTGTAATAGCCTCTTCTTGTATTTATCCCTTTATCATTATATAATGCCCTTCTTTGTCTTTTGCTATAGGCTTTAATTTAAAGTCTATTTTGTCTGATATGAGTATTGCTATCCCCAATTTCTTGTCTTTTCCATTTGCATGAAATATCTTGTTCAATCCTTTCACTTTCATTGTGTGTGTCTTTAGCCCTGAAGTGAGTTTCTTGTATTTAGCCTATTGAAGGGTCTTGTTTTGTTATTTTTATCCAATCAGCCACCCTATGTCTTTTGATCAATGTGTTTTGTCCATTGACATTTAAAGAAATTATTTATAAGTATATACTTATTGCCATTTTATTACCTTTTTTCCAGTTTTTTTGTAGTTCTTCTCTCTTAATTTCTTCATTTTGTTTCTCCTATTGTGGTTTGATGATTTTTCTTTGTAGTATTGCTGAGTTCCTTTCTTTCCAGTTTTTTTTTTTGTATTTATTGTAGGTTTTTGATTTGTGGTTATCATGGGGTTTATATATGTGACCATAATTATATCTACTTGATTTAAACTCATTGTTGCTGGGTTTCTTTCTGTGCTTGTGTGTGGCCTGTTCCAATCTTTTCCCTTTTTTGTATCTCAGTATCCTCATCTTTTAAATTGAGGCAGTGCTCTTTGATTGTTCTAAGAACACAGATTTCACTTGCTAATTTGGCCTGATTAGATATGTCCTTGGTTTCTCTTCCTACTCCCAGATTTCTGGACACATCCACTACTCATATTTCTTCTTAACAGGTGGGTTACAGAAAGGAATGAAAAGTTAGAACTGGGGAAGTGTTGGGAGGGGCAAAAAAATTAGAGCTATTGATGGAAACAAGGTTTTGACAATATTTGTATATTTTAATTAACCAAGCTCCCCATACCATCTAAGATTTCAAATACTAGAAAGTTGCTCAGACCTGTAATTCTTGTTTCATTGTGCCTGACAGGATCCTGAGGTTCTTCCTTTCTCAAGATATTCTCTGAGCAGTATAAGAAGGTCCAGGGTACTTCAGATATTGGCTTTGGATTCCTTCTTGACTAATTTTAGTCCCTTTTCTCCCCATCACTGGACTCACTGGAGCATAACTTCCCTCCCATCCTTCAGCCACCTCAATTCTGGTGGCTCTGAGAGGTGTATCAGGTGGACTGGCAGCAAGAACCTCTCTAAAAGAAGCTGAGGTCTCTATTCAATCTAAAGGGTATTCTCTTACCACAGGTAACTTGGACCAGGGTTCCAAGACACTAGAAACCTGCAAGAACATTGGTGGATACTTGAAGCCCCAGGGACCAGGAACCAAGTACGATAATGAGGTAAGACCTCATTCTTAGTCCCTTTGGAACTCATTGGGCCTCCAGGAACAGTTATTTCCTCTAAGCTGTCTTTTTACTAGACATATTGCAAGTATTAGAGCTTCCAGCATGTGGGATGGAGGCAATTTTTAAAATGGGTGTCTGAACTATTTTATGACTACAAAAAGTTGGGAACATTAACCTTTTCTCCCTGAGGTTAATTTTTCTATGAGATAAATTGAGGACATTTTATGGCTTCCACACATCCTACTGCTGCTGATGTCTTTGGGTGCCTTTCCTGTGGCAGATTGGAGGGTGGACTGTGAGATTTTTAAAGCATGTGTAATTTGATTTACTTTTATTATATCCTTTAAGTTCATGATCAACTTCAGTGGTAACTGGTGGCATGTTTATGTGCATTTCCTTGGAGAAGATGTTTTATAAATGCAGATATAATAACTGATGCATAGGAGTTCAATGTTAGCAGGCCTCTATACCTCCATGTCTTTATATCCATGTCTGTTGAGTACTTATGTGAGTATAGTAAGTGTAGTTTTTTCTTGCTATATCTCTGTGCATGTGCATGCCTGTTCACATATGCCTATATATGCATCTTTGTCCATCTACATGCCTGTTAAAATACTTCTTTCATGAACATATGGGTATCCCTGAGCATGACTACAATGTGTTTTCCTAACTCTCTGCTTCTAAGTGCCTCTCTCTCTCTCCCTGTCTATATATCTATATCTCTCTATATAGATAGCCTTTTATCTGAGTTTATCTTTGGGTATTTTGACATCTGGTGCTTTTTTGTATGTGTTTGGATCTATGGGCCTGTTCATTTGCATCTTTTTGCTTGAGGTGTGCAGATGCCTGCCTTCTAGTGTGTCTGTGTGTCTGCATGAGTCTGTCTGTGTGGGAGCAAGTATCTACAGCTCTGTGGTTAAACCCTGGTGAGAAATTACAGCTAAGAATGCAATTCCCAGAGGTATCTGGCCTAGTGACTTAGCCTTCACTATTACTACCCTCCAACTTGAATATTCTTGCTCAGAAATAGACTTCTAGTCACAGCAGTTCAAGCCTGTTTCATGACAGAAACTTTTGGTCAGGGAAATGTGTCATGAAGTTGAGAGATTTTATGTTTTGTTTTGTTTTAGTTTGCGAGTTGCAAAGTGAGGTCCAGAGGGAAAGTTCCATGGTACTGGGCTGGCCTTCTGTTTGCTGCCTCTGCTCACTTGTCTTCTTGACAGTCTACCCTTGCTTGTGTTCCTTGGTCCAGATTTAGGCTGGCCCATTACTCCTGATACAAAGGGCATCCGCAGGCAAGTCTGAGCACCTGTTTTTTATTTCAGCCAGGTCTCCATGCTGGTCCTGTTTTTACTCAAAGAACAAATGATCAGCATCCTCCTAATCAGTAATTTTTGTATGCTCAAAGGCAGTAACTGGTCATTTGTGAGAAGGCCCTTTCTTTGAGGAAGCCAGACTTTGTAAGGCCTCAAGAGATGAAATCTAGGGAGGTGGTTTCAGCAGGGTAAAGTGTCCAGGCTCAATGGTTAAAGGGAATGATGGAAGTCACCAAGAACACTTGGGGAGCTCTATGGCATCCACAGTACTTGAAATACTTAGGCAACTGTTTTTGCAGTCCTGGTCAGTCCTTGATCCTTTTATGATAGTAATAATAGTAATAAAAATGGCTTAAATCTGTGAAATTTTACAAAATGCTTTAAAATCTAACATTTCATTTGACCTCATAACAGACCTGTCAATAAATATTATCCTCCTTTTGTACATGAAAATGCTGAGGCTCAAAGTGGGAACATGAATTTATCTAATGTCACCCTTCTAGTAAATGGTAGAACCAGGACCCAAACCCTCTGTATGACTCCAAATCAAAATGCAGGACCTAGAACTCTGCTCTGCCTTTCACATCCCTGGAGAATCCAGAGTTTGAAGCAATATACTTTTTCAAGGGACTAATCCAAGATAAATTAAAAAGAAGAGTCTAGTGGTGGCCTACAATATTCAAGACTTCTTAGAGGGAGTGGAATTTGAGTTTGGCCCTGAAGGATGAGAAGGGATGAAATAGGCAGAGCAAAGGGAGGTGGTCTGGTCAGATGGTAGGTGCTATGACGAGGAGAGAACCACTCTCCTTAACCCATGGGAATACTCAGTTCAACCTGGTCTCCTGTTAACAGTGCCAGGAGTCAAAGGGAGCCTTTTTACATGTGTGCATACCTTGTAGCTAAGAGAGCACTTTTGACATATAATACCACTTATTACCTGGGAAGACTGTATTGTCTACATTTTTTAGATGAAAAAATGAAGCTGAGAAAAAAAGAAAAGACTTTCCCAAGGTCAAAAAACAAGCTGATATCAGACTGAAGGTGGACCTACTTGTGGCTCTAAGCCCAGTGACCTGATACCTATTTTACCCACATTCTGCCTCCATCACCCCCACCATCTGCTGCCTTCTCTAGGGCCCCTGCTTGGCTGGCCTTGGCCTTGGCAGACTGAGCATCAGCTGATGATGTCTGACAGGAAAACCTACTATGACAGTGGCCTCATGCCATCAAGTCAGGAAGCTCTGGTGGAGATACACTGGAGACAAGACCAGTACCCAGGTTACCACACTCTGAGGGAAAAAATGTTGGCTCCCCCTCAGTGGTTCCTTTTCTCTTCTGCAACCCACATGTCAAACACCAACCAAACTTTCTCCCCAAAGTTAAAATTGGCCAGCCTCTTCCGCCCAAGGCTAGGCTGAGAAAACATTTTTCCAAAGGAAATTTATTAATCAGTCGATGAGGAGAAATTGGTTTAGAGGAGTTGGGGATGATGAGTTTTGAGTTTCAGGATCCAGTGTGTTTCCCTTGACTCTGGGCTCTAGGCAAAGTCTCCGGATCTGTTTAAATTTTTCTGTACAGAGTAGAGATTCTGATCACAATAATATGTGTTGAGTTTTTTAAATTCAGCCACACCCATTATCTCTTTGGAGCCTCATGTCCTGGTAGGGCAAGGCAGGTATTGTTGTCTCTATTTAGCAGAGGAAGAGAATAAGTCTCAAGTTGATCTTAAACAACCTTAAGATTAGCTAGCATTAGCAGAACCAGCATTGGAACCTGGGTGTCTTGATTATCAAGTCTGTGTTAACTTTAGTATATCTAACTGTATTACATTCACAGCCTTGGGTTTTAAAGCTCCTTTCTTCCTGAGAATCCAAACCATTTTGGTTCAGCTTTATTACCAATAATATATAATTTACAAATAATAAAACTCACCAAGTTTAAGCGTACAATTTGATGCATTTTGACAAACATGTAGAGTCATGTAACCACCAACACAATCATGATATAGAACATTTTTGTCACCCCAAAAAGTTCCCTCATGTCCTTTCTAGTCAGTGTTGCCCCCCTCCTCTGGCAGCCACTCATTTGCTTTTGCTCTCTATAATTTTGCCAGAATTTTTAAATTGGAAATAATTAATTTGTCCTCAAAAAGTTGTGAGACAGTGGGGCTTCCCTGGTGGCGCAGTGCTTGAGAGTCCGCCTGCCGATGCAGGAGACGCGGG